GATAGGACTCCCTTCACGCTCTTTAGATAGAAAAATCAATTTAGATGATCCTATTGTACCACTGAAAAAGAACATAGTTTGTAAAGGTTGAGTATAGTCAAGGGAGGACACAAATTATTATCTATGGTGTTTGTGATAAGGACAAATATAGATACTTTCAAAGTTATACTTTATAAGTTGGTGATATTTGTGTTTATTGTTACCACATCATCGATTTACTCATGGTTTAAATTTATTTTGATTGTACAAAAGTAAACTCATGTAGTATTGAAAGCATTTTAAAATTGTCTTTCAAAAGTTTAATCTGTTTACTACTATATCACTTGATACCTTGGATCATTAGCTGAGAGATTTGAAAATATATTGTAGAAGAGATCTAACATCATATTACAAAACAGCCAGTATTATTATTTAGATTATACTCATAAAGAAAACAAAGATAGATATTCACAGCATATTTATTACACTCTAAGAAACTAATTCAGGAACATTTTTCCTATTCTTAACTTATGGGTACCCTGGTTTTCCCTAATTTTTCTGTTTGCTTCTGCTTCATAAATGATACATTTAAGAGATGACTGTTTAAACATGGAGAGGAAGCAACAGGTAATGATCATATATTTTTCACCAATATGTGACAGTTTTGAAGGTATGACAAAGTGTATTATACTTCTTAGTTCAGAATTTAGATGTTTTGAATTTTTATAATAAAATTACTGTATAAAAAGGCAAGATTTATCCAGTGTTAGCTTTTAAGATGTTGGTTATTTCAGGGAAGAAAAAGAAAAAGTTGCTATGGAATTGGTCCTATTTCTTGAGAATACAACTCTATTCATTTGTAGTAATCTATCAGCTTTATATGAATATTTACATAAATAAATGCATGCATGTTATGTATTAATACACATCTCAATCATTAAAATGCATTTCAAAATCTAGCCTTTTTCTACATGAATGAATCATCCCTCATATATGTGTTTCTTTAAACACACATCTGGATATACGTACGCAGGTTCCTTAATGAAAAATTTTCAAAGAAACTTGAACAATGAAATATCAATTATAAACATAAAGTTAAAATTGACAGTCCTGACAGGAAGAAATTTGTAGCAATTTGTATACACAAGGAAGCGCTTTCTTATTTTAACTCATATTAATCTCCATAATATAAATATTGGGCTTTTGTTCATCTTGCAATTATTAACAGTCTATTGCCATGTTTTAAATAGGAAACTGAAGAAACGTTCACAAGATATGATTAAACGAAGTGCACATTTTTCAACTTTGCATATTGACTGATACATTGTGGAATATAATTTCTGTGTTTCCATAACTCCACTTGCTGAAAACTGTTTTAAAGATGGAATGGTAAAAAGTTTGGTGCCATTAGCTTTAATTATCTGTGCCAACAATTTTATCTGTTGATTCTAAAATTGAACTTGAGCCAAGGTTTACTGTCCTTTGCTTATAATTTGACTTACATTGACATTTCCTTCCAATTTTGTAGTATGTTTTAATATGTTTGTGTGGTTGGTGTTTTCCGAAGTGTTTGGTTATTTGGTTATGATTTTTGGAGCATCTATTTTCATTCCTTTTCTTGTGGCATTATTTGTTTTCTCCTTTCTTGGCCCTTTTTCTACATTTTATGATTGGAATTTTATTTAGATATTTACATTTTCTGGTGATTTATGAGGGAGACATTTTATTTTTTCAAAAACTACATGGATAAATTTAATGATTCTTAAAATTTACTATGAAATTTCACTCATTTATTGATTCATTAATCTGTGCATTTACTTTAAACATTTATTGACATCTAAATATCTATGTCATGTTAGATGCTTCAAATATAAATATAAATTCAATATCCAAATGTTTAAATGTTGTGTTTCTTTGTAGGTTGTTGAAAGCTATATGAGGTGTAATTTACAAAACACTGAACATTTAAATAAAAAATTTAAAAAACTATTTCAGCAAAAAAATACATTGCCCTTAATGCACTCGTAATATTCCCACAAACTTTGTACACACTGTCCCATCATTCTTGCAGTTTCTGAAGTACTGAGTTCAGGAGCTCCTCTTTTATAATTGTGCCTGTTCGTGGCTGCCTTGATGTCTCAAATCAATTCAAAAGATTTGGAGTTATTTCTGCCAGATAAAAACATCACAGCTCATACTTATCCACCTTCTTCACCAGATTTAACATTGACCCTTGGCTCTTCCCTGAAGTCAAAATGACCATGAAAGGTAGACATTTTGAATTAATTCAGAACTTCAAGTCAGCCACAACAGCACCACTAAGGTCACTCAGAAAGAGGACTTCCAGAACTGCTACAAAAAGTGAAAAAATTATAAATGGGTTCCCAGTGAGGGAATGTTTTGAAGGCAGCTGATGGCGAAATGTATTTTACTGTAATAAATTTTTAAAATTTAAATACTCACTGTATTTTGCAATCATGCCTCAAACATTTTTATAGTACCATGAAGTTAAAATAATCAAAGAGATGGATTCTATCAACAAACACATCCCTTACCGTAATCCTGCTGCTTTCCTAACAGCATCATATTACTATGATTTAAAGGGTGGTTATCTACCTTCTCCATGAACAAGCTGATTATTCTGATGAGGCTGAAGCCTGAAAGTGGCCTTGGTGGAGTACGGAGCAAGAGCACAACAGAGAATAGTAGATTTCAAGACCACAAAACTGAAAATGGTGGACCAGGGATGTAACTCAGCGGTACAGAGCCTGCCTGCCAATCACAAGGCCCTGTGTTAGATTCCCGGTACCAACAAAAACAAATAACACCAACAACAAAATGAAAATGGCAGTCTATGTGAGTAGAAAATAAGAAATAACCACACAAGGGCACTTGATCTAGCAGCATTTTCCTTTCCTCTAGGATAGTGTTCCTAACTGGCTAAAATATTTAGACTAGTTGCATTTCTATTTGTTCCTATATGACTCTAAGATGTTACTATCACACAAGAATAAATTTTTGAAAAATATGTTAACATGTTCATCTTATGTTGCTTTTTACCAGATGTTGTCTTCAGTAATATGTATTCCATCATCCTTCAATGAAAAACAGGGAATCACTTAGCTTAAAAAAGAACAATTTGATATCCCTGATTTATTCATCATCCTAAACAGTGTTAACTATCCTCCTACGTTGCCTAGTTTATTCTAAGAAATCATTTTAACAAAGACTATGACTTCTTATATGAGATCTGAGTAAAAGCAAAAGCTGAGGCATTAAATGAGATGGAGGACTGAATCCAACATTCATGTTTAGTTGTTAAATTTCAGTAGTGTAACTCCAGTCTAAGAACACTGGCAGCTGTTCCTTCATTCCTACAGTATGCACATTGGTGCATTCTTTTCTGACATGATAGACAGGGGTTGAGGAAATGACTAAATGTCTGCAGTGAAGCAAATAATTCAAAAAATAGCTTTCTGAGGAAATTTTCTCCATTGATTGTCACTATTCTACAGTCTTAGAACAGATTTCTAAAGCCTCTTTATGAAGTTTAAATTAGTAGTCACAAAAAATTGAGCCACAACTTTAAAAAAAAGTTTGAAAGCAAATAAATTGATAAATAAATAAAATATAGAAGATAGGGAAATAATATATTTCAATGAATATACATGTTTGTCTAAATGACTATCATCATTAATTTATCATGATTTATTTTAAGGGAAATGGAGATCATTATTTGTATTAAGAAGAATATACTTACCATGCTGACATCAACACTGCCTTCTCTCTATACTATCATTTTAACCTACAATATTTTTAAAGAGTATGCTTATTTTTATTTTTAATATGCTCAATCTTAAAAAATGAAGAAAAAATAAACAACATACACTTTCATAGATAGATAATAAGTATCTGTTATTAAATTTTACACTAAAATATTAACAAATGATCATATCAAGGAAGTGTGTGTGATATGGACTGCTTTAAAATTAGGTCTTTTACCAAAGCAATTACATGAAATTCCAGCAGAGTGGTGCATTTAACATTTTATTTTATAGTTTTCAAACACATAAGTTAGAGCATGATTGTATGAACTGCGCTAAGAATAAAAAATGTGTCCACATAAGGATAAACAAATCAAATGCAAATTAAAAAGCCACTGGAATTTTTTAAGCAACATTGTTCTTTTTAAAAAGCTGATTGGATTTACAAAGATATTTAATTTTTCTTTACTTCAGTTCCTTTAGTAAAAAATGTATCTAAATCATTGTTTAATGAATATTTAAAAATACATACCAGTACTTCAAGATTTCTCAAGAATAAAAAAGAGTTCTTACACATATGTGCTATAATCTAACCTCATAAATAAGAAATCAGCATGCATCAAAAAACATGCTGCATCTATATATCAGGTCTCTGAAATAATCAATCCCGGAGCTAAGCCAAGTCTAAGAGTCATACTATGCTGTCAGGTAACTTTCACTTTATTCTTTTATGACCTACTACATGCAGTCTCATGTGTATATTCTTGATTTTCTTTAAAATAATATTCCTCCATTATGAAGTGGAAGAAAACAATAGAGCTGATATTATTAAATTTTAATGATGAATTACTGAATAACAGAGTGTGCCACCTGCTAGGATTCCTGTTTCATAAGAGAAGTCAAACAGTGTGGGTAACAGGATATGAATAATAAAGATTCTGAATCCTCCCTTAATATATTGATACCTCATTGGCCTATTTCCAATAATCACAAAAGGATTTCAACATTTTTCCTACTTGCCACTGACAGGACATCAGATTGTGTTAATATATATGGTTATAGCAGATATTAGTCAACATCTACTTTTATGTTGGGAAATTTAGTCTTTTTATTGTGCTGCAATAATGCATAAAGTAAGAGTTATTTCTGAACTTTTCTTATTTGCTTGACCATGGGGAATATCTTTTTATGACCCATGTTATGGATTAATGGTAATGCAGAGGAATAACATTAATCTTTATTTTCTTTTTGTAAAGAATGTTCCAGGATCCCAGGATTCCCAACAACTCAAAGTTCCAGGTCTCTGAGTTCATTCTGATGGGATTCCCGGGCATTCACAGCTGGCAGCACTGGCTCTCCCTGCCCTTGGCTCTGCTCTACCTCTTAGCACTTGGTGCCAACATCCTCATCATGATCACCATCAAACAAGAGGCATCCCTGCATCAGCCTATGTACCAATTCCTGGGCATCCTGGCTGTGGTGGATGTGGGTCTGGCTACCACCATCATGCCAAAGATTTTGGCCATCTTATGGTTCGATGCTAAGGCCATCCGTCTCCCTGAGTGCTTTGCTCAGATGTATGCCATCCATAGTTTTGTGGCCATGGAATCAGGTATGTTTGTCTGCATGGCTATAGATAGATATATAGCCATTTGCCAACCATTGAGATATCCATCAATAATTACTGCACCTTTTGTGATCAAAGCAACTGTGCTCATGGCATTCAGAAACTTTCTGGCTCCTATCCCAGTGCCTGTTCTTGCTGCTCAGAGAAATTACTGCTCTAGGAACCAGATAGAGCACTGTCTTTGCTCTAACCTTGGAGTCACTAGCCTATCTTGTGATGACAGGAATATCAACAGTATCAACCAGCTAGTTCTGGCTTGGATAGTCATGGGAAGTGATCTTGGTTTGATTGTTTTATCATATGCTTTGATTCTTCATTCTGTCCTGAAGCTCAACTCAGTAGCAGCTGCATCCAAAGCCTTAAACACCTGCACATCCCACTTTATTTTAATCCTTTTTTTCTACACAGTCATCATTGTCATCTCCATCACTCACAGTGCAGGCATAGGAGTTCCCCTCATCCCAGTTCTCCTCAATGTGCTGCATAACGTCATCCCTCCTGCTCTCAACCCCATGGTGTATGCATTTAAGAACAAGGAGCTCAGGGAGAGATTGTTCAAAGTGTTTAAACTAGACACCAAGGGCGGCTAATAATGAGAAGACTGACAAATTTTTACTTCTCCATGAATTTCCCATTGCATTTTCCAATGACTGGAATTGGTGAAAATAAATTAATAGTTGTACTGTCCAACATTTCTCAGTACTGTAAGAGATCAATCACAATTGAAGCCTCTGAACAAAAATGTAGACTTAATATTTGAAATCTCTCAGTGTCAAGCAAAATTCTTCATCACGAAGAATAACAGAAGCTGAGCATAGTGGTGCACACCGTAATCCCAGCTGTTCAAAGGCTGAGGCTGAAAGAGTGTTGTAAATTCCAGGCTAGCCTGAACTACATAGTGAGACCCTGTCTTAAAACAAAAACAAAAACAAAAGCAAACCCAAAAACAAAGAGTAACATAATGATGGTCTTTGTCTCAAGGATTTCAGAGGAAAGACACACAGAATATACTACAACTATATCAATAGGTTTTCTACTAGCCATAGTCAGTACTTCTCAACAATGTTCAATGGATGTGGGTAGAGCAGCTATATTAAACAATGTCTACTTTCAAATTGTAGAGTTTAATTATTTGACACCTGATTTGATTATTGAAAGGAGTCATTTCCTATTGCCTTTTTATAAGCTATGTCTTTTTTTGAACAAAATGCTTGAATATTCACATAAAGAAAATAGGCAAATCATCAAGAAATCACTGAAAATATTAGTTACTGGTCAAATTCCAATCAAAATGCAAGAATATATAAATTGCTAAAATGACTATAAGGAAAAAGCAGAAAAAGAAAGGCAAGAGTTGACAGTCAACGGATACATTGAAATTTTCATAAATTTCTGTTGGGATGTAAAATGGTCCAGCAGTTGTGAAAAAAATTGGCAGTTACTCATTAAATTAAATAAAATCACCCATAAAATTGACCCCTAAGTATGTACTCTAAATAAGTGAAACAATTGTTTGAGCAGAGATTTGTATATATGGTTAAGCTTATCCTCTAGGTCTCCAGAATTTTGAAGTACAAAATAATGTTATAATTAATGGCATTTATGAATTCAATTTCCTTGAATCAGTTCTTAACTCTGTAAAATTTATAGGTCTATGATTCATTAATGTGATCTACTGAGACTAAATGTTCTCTCAGGTAAGTACTCATAAATTTTGCAATGTAAAAATCTTGTATGTAATAATTTATAGTAGCTTTATAAGACAAAAAATAAAAACAAAGTATACATCTTTAAACTGTTGAGTAGATATTTACTGAAGTATAATTGTATAAAGGATTATTACTCAATGGAAAAGTTTTCTGTGAGATCAGATATGGGTTGTATTAAAGTAATTATTCTATTTATATGTATCTCAGAAAATCAAATTATAAACATCAATATATACAATAAATTTTTATATTTAAAAAGTTCAACTGAGGTGTTGGAGAAATGCTAAATTTTACAAATATGAAATTAAGATTGTGTAGTAGAGAAATAAATAAGAGAAAATATCAAAACCAAAGGAACAAGTTAGATGATGTACTGGTGCATAGTACAACACTCATGAATATTTAAAACATTTTCTTAGTAGGTCAGGGATTTGGCTCAGTGGTTCCACCATCTGCCTCACAAGTGGAAGGTCCCAAGTTTGATCCTCATACCAAAAAACCCCACAAAAAAACACATTTTCTTAGTGAAGAAAGCCACACAAAAGGGATTTCCTACTGTACAATACCACTTGTAAGGATGTCCAAAATTGGGTAAGTGTATAGAAGCATAAAACAAATTATTTATTGCCAAGGGGTAAATCCTATGGGCAACAAAGAGAGAAAGACTAATGCATATGGGGTTTTCTCATGGTATTTGTTAAAAATATTATGTAATCATATACTGGTGATTTTTGAACAGTATTGTGTATATACATAGTCTTGCAACTTAACTGAAAGTGACATAAGTGTACATTTTTGAAAGGTCAAGATAAGAATTTTGTGGAGCTGTGCGGCCAACATTGGCACTGCTGCAGGCAGATCCCAGTTGGGGGTCCACCCCAAACCCAGAGGCTCCTGTGTGTCCAGCCAGGCTAGGGGTCCATCCAGAAAGGAGCTGCACAGGAATGCAGGCTTTCTACAGAGGCCCAACATACCATCAGCCACAGCCAGAGACTCACCTGGAGAAGAGCTGTACAGGCACACAAGCAATACACAGAGGCTTGCCCAATACCATTGATGAGTGGGTGGCAACCCTAGCCAAAGCCTGTGCAGACAACAGGAACTAGGGGGCACAGCCCCCAACCAAAGGACCTCACAGACAACAGCTACATAGGGGCCCATGCAAGGCATACCTCAATACCATCACAAGTGTGCACAGGCCCCACCCAGAAGCCTGCACGGACAACAGGTCAGTTCAGGGATCCAGAAGGCCACCACTATGAACAGAGGAATCAGTGTACTGGTGAGCAGCAGAGTAAAGGCTGCTCTGTGCTTGCTGAGCAAAATGTCACCCCAAAAAAGCCACAGCAGGCTGCATCTGTTGAAATGAGAAACATGTAAACAAGTCTCAAAATCAGATCTCAAGATCACCTAAAGCAACCCCAAAGGGCAATGAGATGGAACAATCTGATACTGAAACACCTAGACTCCCTGAACTGACAATTAAAGAGGATCTGGAAAAAATGAAATCAGAAATAATTTCTGAGTTAACACCAGGCATTGTGCCCATAGTGCAAGACATGATTAATAAATCTAGAGTGGACACAGATTGAAAAGAAATAGAGGAGCTGAGGAACATGATGGAAAACCCACATAGGAAACAAATGGAATCCATAAAACAGATACAAACAGATTTCCAGGACATTAAAAACTCCATTGAAAGTTTATGCAGCAGAATGAATCAATGTGAGGACAGAATTTCAGACATAGAAGATAGGACTGCAATTAGTGACCAGGAAAAGAAAAATTTCTTTAAAATAGTAAGGGACCATGAGAAATCAATCCAGCAGCTGCTAGATAATGCAAAGAAGAATAACATAAGACTGATCAGAGTCAATGAAGAAACAGGAGAGAGTGCAGATGACATAAAAAAAAAAAAACTGTTCACGGAAGTGATGGCAGAAAACTTCCCAAGCAGGGGAAAAGAACTTGACATACAGAGGCATATAGGACTCCAAATAGCCTTGATCAAAAAAAAAATCTACACATAGGCATATAATAGTTAAGATTCCAGAATCCCAACAGAACAAAGTTCTACAAGGAGTTAACGAGACAAATCCCATATGAAGGAAAGCCTATCAGAATCACAGTAGACTTCTTAATCCAAACCCTTAAGGCAAGAAGACCTTTGAGTGATGCATTTCAAGCCTTAAAGGAAAACAACCTCCAACACAGATTGATGTACCCTGCAAAATTATCTTTCAAAATTGATGTAGAAATATGATACTTTCATGACAAAGAGTACCTTAGGAACTTCACAAATACCAAACCAGCACTCCAAAAAATTTTAGACAATATCCTAGGAAAAGACAAACAGGATCACAACCTCAGGAAGCCCAGCAGAATGAATCCATTGGGCATGACAAATTAAATGCAAAGGAATGAATCCAACAAAAAGAAAAAGTCATGACAATGATAAGTCAATACATATCAATTATAACCATCAATGTTAATGGTGTCCATTCACCAATCAAAAGAAATAGACTGGCAGAATAGGTCAAGAAGCAAGACCCAACAATATGCTGCATACAAGAAACACACTTAATTTTAAAAAAAACCTTCATAGACTGAAACTTAAAGGGTGAAGAACAATACTCCATGCAACAAGAACCTGAAAAAAAAGGAGCAGTAGATATCCTCCTTGCAGATCAATTGGATTTCAAGCCAACACTGATTAAGAGAGACAAAGAAGGACACTACATCCTTGTAAGGGGAACAATCAAGGGGGAAGAGATGACAACCATAAACATTTATGCACCAAACTCTAGTGCACCCAGTTATATAAAACAAATACTAACGGACATGAAAAATCACATAAAAACTAGTACAACAGTAGTGGGGGACCTCAATACTCCACAAATTGATAGATAACTTGATAAAAATGAACAACAAAATACTAGAACTCAAAGAAACTCTTGAACAAATGAACTTAACAGATGTTTACAGAGTCTTCCACCCCACAAAATCAAAATACACATTCTTTTCAGCTTCACATTGGTCATTCTCCAAAATAGACCACATACTAGCCCACAGAACTTGTTTAAGTAAGTCCAAAGGAATTAAACTTATCCCCTGTGTATTAGCAGACCATAGTGTGATGAAATTGGAGATCAACAGCAAAAGAAATCACAAAATTTCATAAGCACATGGAAATTGAACAACACACTTCTAAATAACCAACGGATCACAGAGGAAATTAAAGAAGAAATCAGACAGTTCCTTCAATTAAATGACAGTGACAATACAACATATCAGATCTATGGGACACAATGAAAGTAGTCTTGTGAGGGAAATTCATAGCAGTGAATATGTATATTAGGAAAAGAGATTGAGCCCAATTAAATAACCTGATGCTGAACCTCAAGCTTCTAGAAAAAGAAGAGGAGGACAAACCCAAACTCATACAAGGGAGGAAATTATAAAGATTTGAGCAGAAATCAATGCAATGGAGACTAAGAAAACAATACAAAAAATCAATGAAGCCAAGAGTTGGTTCTTAGAAAGAATAAATAAAATTAATAAACTCTTACCAACCTTGTCAGAAAAAGGAAAGAAAAGGCCTAAATCCATGCACTGAGGAATGAAAAGGATGAAATTACAATGGACCAAGCTGATATACAGAGGATCATCAATACATACTTTGAGAACCTATATAACAATGAGATGGAAAACACAGAAGAAATTGACAGATTCCTAGATACATATGAATTACCAAAGTTGAACGAAGAAGACCTAAAAATTCTAAACAACCCATATCAATCAATGACATTGAAAATGTAATTAAATACTTACCAACTAAGAAAACCCCAGGTCCTGATGGCTTCACTGCTGAATTCTACAAG